AGCACCTACCGGATGTAATCGTTCCCGCGTGGAAATTTGATGACGGATCATAGGTGTACATGGATGGTTCCAGCGAAAAGGATGGAGCCGATGGATAACCTGAAATAGAATGGTCATGAAGAAAACGAAAACCCAAGAAGAGCAGCACAGCAGCACTTGACATTCGTAGTAAAAGAGTTGGATTATAGTTTGGTTCCTCGAACCTATCGCACATATGGTCCGTGGATCGAATCCCGGACCGGATTCACTCACAGTAGTGGCATCTTCCACGAGTTTTTGGCCAGCCCCTGGTTTAAGTCGATATTCGAGAAGGTGTTTTCATCCCCTCAGACTGGTCCGGTGTCGCTTGGCAGGTCCTCGACGACGGAAAAGTTTGGCTGGATTGAACGGGTTCCATTTAGGGAATGATCCATAGACCATATTCATTATGGAGATGGCGCTCACCAAAATTTTATTGGGAAAAGCGCTGGGATCGGCTTTTGGGATTCAATGGGATCGACTTGTAGGGATTTTAGATACATATAGGAAGTTCAGGCTTATATTTTCCATCTCCATTCTTTCTTCACGCCGAAACGAGCTTGATTTCAGAGCCGGTAGTACCGCTGGTTTTGAAAAATATGAGGCCTACTCCATACTGAACGCAATAGATTCATGTCATCATGATCTGAGCTTCGGTCGTTCTCATTCAGCTCAGCTAGTCGAACAGGAGGCGGCATTCGTAAGTTCTTGAAGCATGGCCTTGGGACCAGATTTCGCCCTGGTCAACAAAGCCTCCACTTCTAACCGGTCGATAAATAACAAAGATTGACCTCAGATACAAACGCCCTGAATTCACCGCTGATTGTCCTCCATGATGTCTTACATTTGAGCAAACCAGCTGCTTCAAGCGCCAGAGTGCTACTTAAAACACTATAGGGAAGTCGCCCTTTGTAATGGTACCAGCAAATACCCATCAACTGCAGAACTTACAAAAGTCCCAGAGGAGCAATGAAGAAGATAACGAAGTTGGCAAAACGAAAAGAAGATCGGAAACCTGAAGTGAATGGGCATCGCTGGGAAAATGGGCACTTGCAGCTCACTGTAACCCAAGGCTTTCGGGAATCTCCACATTCCGGGACCAGAATCTTCCCTATGAATCGCCAGAATCTCAGTGGGGAAGTGAGCTCAGAAAAAACCTTCTGAAGGATGTCATCTCGACTTTTTCATCCTTTTCTTTCTTCTCTTTCCTTTTCGTCATCACTGATCCCTGATAGTGATTATCTGCGATACACGAAAGCTTTGCTAGTGTGTGTTTGTGTTCGTGAACATACTCCAACGCTACACAAACAGAACGATGACGAGAGGGTACACGATTTGAGGAGACACAGTACGCGCAAATACAACACATCACATCGTGGCGGGAGACTCAGACACTACCGTATCCAAACATTTCTTCGTCGGCACCGTGTTGCCCACCCACAGGTATGCTCCTAAGCCCTAGGATTATATATATCTGTCAGTGTTAAGGTTTGAAACGATTACGGTAACATCACACACATCATCGGCTTGATCTTGCCAGAAAAGAGGAATTTGCATATGGGTCATGCGAATCGTTGATAATGTCTTTCTCAAAAAACTACTTTTGACGNTATGGGTCATGCGAATCGTTGATAATGTCTTTCTCAAAAACTACTTTTGACGGATGATACTCCGAGTGCTGAGGGGCGCAAGCATTCTCTGATTTTGGTTGATATTCTGTAAGTGAAATTAGCTCTTCCAAAACAAAAACTGGATTCACGACAAGAATTCAAGTAACTTGTTCGAAGCCTATGATAGGTGTAGGTATTGATTGACCGTTTGCTTGGCCATCATGCATATGATTGCATTCAGAAGCTCCTTGGTCGTCTCTTTGGTTCAAATGGCAATGACTTAAGAGAGCCCTTTCTGGCTAGAATCACTAAATTATGGCCCCAGACAAGTTCTGTTGGCCACTTTGAACAGTTTCTTCAATGCTGGAGACCTGTGGCAGCGCCTACGACAGCGAGCACTTGTTTCTGTATCAAAAAATATTTCAGTGCAGCTGCAGAGCTCCTATGGGGCTCGTATCGGTCTACAGCCATATTTCATCAAGAAATCATCCGTAGTCAAATTCGATCTCAGCTTGTCAAGAAGTATAAGGGTTACCTCTGGCCCATTGTGCTTTTCTTTATTTGTCAACTCGGTATTCGACTACTATAGCGCCATTAGATATAAGTAAAGAAGAGAGTGTCTGAATTTTTTGTAGATTAGGGCGTATTGTGGTTGGTCACAGCTTCACAAGGACATTTGACAATGATAATTATAGGATCTGAAATCAGTAGTGAATGAGCTACTCATTAACTACTGATTAGAGCTCAGTAGGGGAGTTCAACAGAGAGTATAAAAAGTTAGAAAGGTTACAAAAAAGCAAGCCCGTTGGTAGGGCTCCTTCTGGGTAGCCCAAAGAGGTACTCTACTGAGGAGAGGCTATTTCCTAGAAATCATGTGGCCAGATGGAATTTTGCACACTAAGCAACAAATAGAAAGACAGAGAAGAAACTCGAAACGGCAGAAGTGCCAGCAACTGAGTATAGTATTACTTCAGGCAAACAACAGTAGCTGGTAGGACACACCGAGTTCACAGTTATGACAATGTCTGACTGAATATCAGTGACCAAATTTAGCCGTGTGTCCCAAATTCCAAAATCAAGACCAAAATCTTACCAGCCAGTAGTGGCAGATGTTCTGTCCATGTTCCGCTGGATGTTTGAGCCGATGCATCACTAGGTGTATCCCATTTGAATTCGGTTCTGAAACAATGATCGTCAGAGTAAGAAAATGCTGATAAAAAATGTCTCAAACTGTCTCTTTGGAAAAGACTGGATTCCGCCTGACAAACGGATCCGGTGTTGATACTGAAATAACCCAGGAAACTGGTGCACGATCCGAGGAAATCGATATGGGGCCCTGTATTCTCCCCAGTTGTTGGGTTGTCTCCATTGCTCCCGAAGGAGAAGATGTGAAAACTCTGCAGTAAAAGTAGAAAGTATGGAGAAAGAAAGGTACTTCGCATAGTTTTCAGGTGGCCAAGAGAAGGTTCCGACCACTCTAATGGGAAGAATGTCCCTACAAAGTGGTCGGACGGTAGGAAATCCGCTCGATTGGACTCTTTCGATTCCGCTCGTCAGAAGAAATTCCTCGGCATCTGGCGAAGGATACTGAACTCGAAGGAAACGTCCAAGGCCATTCTGACCTCGAGTAACCACGACGGATCAACGAAAGCGAAACAACATCGAATGAAGCACCCTAAGTGACACTTGTAATGACGATCGCCCGACGGTTGTCCCCACAACTCTTGAGTCAAGTGTTTTTGACGAGTGTTTGGGCAGCACTACCTTAGGCACTGTGCACTGTTTACTGGCTATCTTGATACAGTATCGTGAGAAAATGACGTTCATACAAAGGTCAGGTTCACTCACTTGTTGCTATCGGCTGCTGGAGTGGGTAAGGATGTAGCTATGCTTTGACTAAGACCATTGCCGAGTGTTGTCGAATTGAGACTGGAGCCGAGGGTTGAGCTCAGGCTTGAGCTCAACGTAGGACATAAGCTTGAGCCTAATGAGTTTGAACTAGCGAGTGCCGACACGTTGAACATACCCACTCAAAGTGAAGTGCAATTGACAGCGAGTAGACACGCCCATTTAACCAGTGGCCCCGCCTCTTTCGAGCGTATTACGGTAGCCGTAACCCATGCTTTTTGCGCATTATTCGATGTACTAGGGTCATTCCTAAGGGGATTTTTGATCCCGGGACGATAGTAGGGATAGGAGCCCGGAAATGGCTATGGACCTTTGCGAAATTGCTGGCCATTTGGATGTCAGGAGGGAACAAACAGATCCAACTGATCAGCCGTAGCAGAAGAGCATTACCTATGAGCTTTTGAGGAAGTGTGAACGCCGACAAGAGGCACGAATGCTCAAGTAGAGCGGTTGTAGATCTCAAGTGAAAACCCTCGACGCTGCCACATCTACTGCAACGGGGGCCTCTTCACCAGCTAGCGCGGATCGTCCGCTAGCTTGTCCGATCTTCTTGAGATGGTTCATCGCTGTCGAGTTGTGTGCTCGATATCTGATATCTCTTACGAGACTAGTCATCTCTAGTGGCTCAAAATTGATACCTACACTATCAGCTTGGCCTCTGAGTCTAACTAATTAGAATTCATGGGGATTAGGATTTCTGGGGCAGAGATGTGGAGCCATAGGTGGTTTGAGAGAAAATATGTATGGGGATTCTGATGACGCTTTGGTGTTTACATCTAAAAATCGATACTGAAGGGATACTGTTTCCATTTTGCTCCACGAATACTTCCGAAGCACTGTTCCCATCCTACCGGAAGTCTGAAACCCACGTCCCTCTTCGTCACGCTCTGTACAAGTGTTCTTTCTTCTTTTGCATAGGTTTTTACTAAAGGATACCGTAATCTTGAAAGGCGGCGGGATCAAAAGGTACTTTCTAGAAGTTCGATCGTCTTCATCTGTATCGAATGATAACGATTCCTATTTGGAGAGTTCCCATAAGTATCATTTCCGATATCAAAGGTAAGAACCCTCATTCGACCCGGTTTGTCAGAAGTCAGACGGCAAAGAAGCTGTAACAGCACTTCACACACGCGTTACGCTGTCTTGTTCAAGAACTTTCGAGGGTTTTTCTTATAAAAAAAGCTAAGCCGGCTGACTGTGATTACCGTAACTCTAAACATCACTGGAACAACAAGCAGAAGTAGATGTTTCAGAAGGTTGGGAAGACCAGGACAAGACCGTTTCTTTTGGGATCAGTTTCATCAGAGGAAATTGTACCGGAAGTGTTTTTTGCCTACCCTAACCACCAGTAATCTGAGAGCAACAAGGAGTTCCGGCGATTTTGTTAGTCTGCAGGCCATCTACCATCGAAAACAGGAATGTGTCACTCAGTTTGATGAGTAGATGAACTTCTTCCAAAGCAGTCTCTACAGGCGCTCTATTCCTTTTCTAGGTTTCTGATAATAAGGAAGGCAAGAAGCATTATTGCGTCAGACGGCTGAACTAGTATTTGCTTGGTCATCCGAGACTATGAGCTGGAGGAGGGCGAGTATTCCAGATCACCTAGTCGTGAGACTTAAGTACTGATGGACGAACTCAGTCAGTGCCACCTTAGTGAAGAACTGCCACTGAATCTTTGTCGGGGAATGTCGCTAGCCAGCTGTGCTACTTCATCAGTCCGGACCAGTCTATCAGTATGAGGGAAAGGGATAGAATGAGCTTGTGGTGAACGGACCTCAAGTATTAGGGTGAAAGCAAAAATCGAAAGATCTTCAGGACTCGATACATGGCGTAATTCATGGAGTATCCGCTAACCTTTCAGCAGCTATGGGTACCTTTGAAGTGCTGCTGTGAGAAAGGGTTGCTCTGAGTCGCACTCGTTGCTCTAGAGAAATTTTCGGGATGATCTCGTGTTTTTCATCATCTGGACCTTATGATAAGCAGTTTCAAGAGTGGAGGACCATAAAAATGGGTCCAATCGGTATTCTATGGGTTCAGGAAGAGTGTTCCAAAGATTTTTTTGAAAAAAAAACATCGACAGAACCACGATGACGCGAAGGATTAAAAGCAATCACAAGGTGCATGATAAGATGTCGATTTAATTGAAAGCCAAAATACACATGCCTCTCTTTCTCTCTATGAAGCGCAAATAAAAGAGGTGAATCTTCTGCTGAGGGCAGAGCTAATGTTTACTCTCCCGACGATCCTATACAGTATTACATTTCGTGTTCGATTCGTTGCACGACCACCCCTATTGCCTACACTGTTCGCTCCGTCTATTCAAACCATCTCAGTAGACCAAGAATATGAGGCTCTAAAGGACGCCGCTTGTACTATATCTAATAGTACAGTTGAGGTTAAGTGGGAAACTGTTGTTACTGTACAGACTCCCACGTGGGAGAATGGAAATCTTTTTTTCCAGGAGGAGTTGATACTTCTTGGTTGTGTAAATATAACAGGTAAAGTACATAAGAAGCGCTATCCTCTGTTCTAAGGCTGTAGTTCTTTAAAATGGGAGTCGGAGCAGTGGCAATAGGCCCACCTAGCATAAGAAAGGTCGAGCTGGAAGTTTTTTCGCGATTCACCAATTTGCCTTTATCCTAGACGGTTAAGGGGTATCATATCTCAACAGAAGGGAAGACGCAAAATTATTGTATAGGCAAAATACCCTCCCTTACAAAAACGACTGGGTGACTGAGGGCAAAGGAAGGGCTTCCCAAAGTCTGAGACGGATTTAGCGTCTACCAGGAGCCATAGCCAAACTGTTAGTACTCAATGAAGTTGTCTGAGCACAAATGTCCTGGTTCCTGACCTCCCAGAAGACGCTTTGTGCAGACAGGAGCGGCGCAGACAGGTTGACCTTTACCAGGCTCAACCCATCGAAACGCTTGTTATTGATCCTGTTGCACGGGAAAAGCTGCCAGTCTCTTACTCCTTGAGCACATGTGGTGTAGTAGCAAGTGGCGCGCTATCACACACATGGTCCCAAGATCGAATCCGGATACTTGCTAAGACCCATCATCCTTCAATTTCTTCAATGTCGACTAATTGGTACCAGGCTCATCTGGGAGTATAGAAGTACTGACTTGTGCAGCGCCTGTCCACCATAAGTCGTTGCGTAGGGTAGCATTCACCTTCCTAACGCCACTACGATTCTGAATGAAAGTGGAGTGCGGGCTCATCCCAGAGGTGGGCTTAATTGTCGCCGAAAACCTTATTCTTCATCGTTCATCCCTTCTCCGCACCTCCTTTCCACTGCCTTTCTCACTCTTGTGCACTTCTACTCTTGAGTCTTCCAGCAGCAGTAAAAATTCACTGATGGGAGCCCGCTCCCATCCAATCCAAGCGGCCACTATGGCAAATAGCTGTTAGGGTAACATTCATATAGCAACAGTTAGCTGAACAAACAAATTTCAATGAAAAAGTTCGAACAATTAGAAAAACGAAAACTCTTTTTTTACAAAATTTCAGTTCCCCTCTACTTGGTGAAGGACTATTAAGGGGTAAGGTTACTTGCAGATCGAATGAGCACACTTATGAGCGTGTTCCAAGCTCTTCCGACGATCAAAGACGAAAACCACCGTAACATACACCAAGGAACTAAAAATCGGGTCGGTCAGATAAGTCATGAGGTCTCGAGATGTAAGCTGCTGCTTGTGAGCTGTTGTGAAGCTGTAACCTAGTCAGGGCTGACATTGGTACGACCCGGTAGCAATGGGTAGGAGTCGCGACGTTTTTGGTTCGGTCTATGTGGGGTCTACTGAGGTAGCGAAAGCCCACTAATAAAGCTTCATGATCGAGTCCTCAGTGCTATTCTCCTGAGGTATCTTTGCCTAATTGATAGGTAGGCTGGCTGTCAGCATCTTCATAGGTATGAAAGTCTACTGGCTCAGAAAGTGGCAAACCCCTATAGATGACTGTATTGGCCGAATCACCACGTGAGTCCGTACAAAAGTTGGGCGGATGGAACATGCTAGAAGAGCTTAGCAGAACAGATGACCACCGGTTGATGGTCATTTGGCTTCCAAGATTAGGAAATCACTTAGCCATCATTTCGTTGAACAACTGCTGCTGGAGAAAGGTAGCATTAATGGTATGGACAGATAAGCCCCCGTATATCAAACTCGACCCCCTTCTATCTCCACAAAAACACAGCCAACAACTTCTCTTCGAAAAGCAGGGACTGAGGAGAAAGGAGTGAGAGGAGGGGTAGCTGAAAGGTTCTGCTAGGAAAGGCGAAGATATTGAGATACCAAAACTCTCGTCAAGCCATTTTTGAGTCCCTGTCGTAATGCATTTGTTCAAGCTGTCATGGTCAAACTCTTGCCCAGAGGAATTCCAAGAAAGTCGTTCTAATTCCTGTCCGTATCAATCTACAGCGTTAGTACAGGCGCTCTACAAGGTACATAGGAAGCCAAGGAATACTGTGTAGAAGTTCATTGGGTCGTAGTGTCTCCGATTTCAGCTAATCCATCCGCTCTATACAAGCGTTGGTGGGCGATGTCGGATGGAGGTCATGCCCCTTCGTTGGCTGTTTGCCGAGTGACGCAAGCTAAAGGTTTACTGTTCGCGACAGTCCGATCTCTGACGTCGCCCTAGGAAATCTCATTCTACTCCCTTTCCAATGTCTCACTAGGCAAACCATCAACGAACTGGTTAACGGTTAATCGAATGCTGTGAGCAATCCTATGATGTTGTAGTTGTTTCCAAGAGTAAGTTGATAAACAGGGCTCAGCTTCATTACGTCCAATATGAATTGTCGCTGGACAGTTGCCTACAAGTACTAAGACCCAGCCCAAAACTGAGGACTGAGCCATTTCNCAGTCCGATCTCTGACGTCGCCCTAGGAAATCTCATTCTACTCCCTTTCCAATGGCTCACGAGGCAAGCCATCAACGTACTGGTTAACGGTTAATCGAATGCTGTGAGCAATCCTATGTTGTTGTAGTTGTTTCCAAAAGTAAGTTGATAAACAGGGCTCAGCTTCATTACGTCCAATATGAATTGTCGCTGGACAGTTGCCTACAAGTAGTAAGACCCAGCCCAAAACTGAGGACTGAGCCATTTCGGATTATTT